AGTTCAGTAAATGGTAACAGCATTTTTTATAAATTCATGCAAATGGACTGCAAACTCTTATGCTACTCTAAAAGTTACTTGATGTTAGAGTACAATAGATATTTTAGCACATTATTGGCCATTATTTCTAATCTAGCCTATTATATTGCTTTAGTTTCATTTAATAAACTTATGTTATTTAGTGGTAACTGAGTTGTGCATAACAAAAAAGACACAAGCACATGTTTTGTGATACTGTACACAAATACATGTAAATACTGCACTCAATGAACACTCCCTTTATTTCATTTTCACTGTCAAACCTAACCAAGAAGTTGTCAATAAATATTTAAAATGAATATATTAAATAGGTAAAATAGCTAATATAAATTACATGTACTGTATGTGCTCAAAGTACATAAGAATATACAATAAAGTAATTTAAGTTTAAATATTATGATACTGTATGCTAGATTCAACAGGTATAGGCAATACTATATTCTAGGGAAACAAATAGGAAATGATGATGTTAACTGTACTGTACAATACAATGAATTTATACTATCATGCATGTGTTTACAGAATAACAGACATCACTTATTCCAGTCATGCAAATTCAAAAGCATGGCATACAAAGCATGTTTTGATACAGATTTTTATACAGGAAGGTAAAGTAAAATTTATGTTTTATGAGGCTTTCTTTTTTTTTATTACTTTTCAGTTTAATTTAAAGGTAATGTCTGAGAACAGCACTACCACCAGAAGGAAGTGTTCCATTTTGTTATTTTTTACACAGATGTTCTTATCATTATAGTAAGTACAGGGTATTTTAAAAAAGGCGACATTTACTAGAACTAATAGAACCAAGGGCAGATCCAGGGGGTCCTGGGGGTTCGGACCCCTCCCTTTCACCAGAAAATTCCTATACTTTTTCTTTAATGCAGTACTGTATTGTACTGTACTCAGGCATTATTTTTACATAGTAAACAGTATTTACTATTGACTTCTGAATGTCTCCTAATATCAAGTGTGCATGGCTTCATAATGGCCTCAAAATGCCCATGACAATGGTTAGATTTTCAAAAAATCTTCTGGAGGGCTTACAGCAACCCCCCACAATAAAATAAAATAAAAATGCACTCGCCATGTTCACCCACCCAAAACTTCTTGGACCCCCTTTTTTATATTCCTGGATTTGCCCCCGATAACCTAACCTAACCTAACCAAAGAAACCTACCTAACTTTACCTAACTTCCTCACCAGGGGGCTCCACCCCCATGACACTCGCCATATTAAACAGAAAGTACTTATTTTGATACCTGGTACATATGAAAGTCACTTTGTTGAAGCATTATGGTATAATTATGCGTTTTCTTTTTTAAGTGAAATATGCTTGGACCAAGCGGGTAAGTTTAAACAAACAGGTAGTAGGTAGCTACCAAACAGGGAGGTACTACTGCCTTGGAAGATCTTGGAAGCATAATGTGTTATCATCACGAAAACTTTGACCAAGTCCCAGGTTGTTGATCTAACTTTCTGCCTCATTTACACACAATTGCAGGGTCTCAATTGTTTCTCTTACTATTGACAACACAACATAAATACTATATTGTTTCTCACTTATGATCTATTATTATTATTATTATTACTATTATTATTATTATTATTATTATTATTATTATTATTATTATTATTATTATTATTATTATTATTATTATTATTATTATTATTATGTGTTATTATTATTATAATTATATCATTATTTTATTTTCAATTTTGTATATTGTATTATGAATTTTATTTATGAATTATTATTATTATTATTATTATTATTATTATTATTATTATTATTATTATTATTATTAGTGTTAACTAATTTTTTTTTTATTATTATTCATTTATTGGGCACCCCCTATATCCTGTGTAAGGTGAAGCGTTTTACAGCGCCCAACAGGGAAGCTTGCCTTTATGTCTCATGAGTTAAGGGCGTAGAAGCCTGAAGGGTCAATGGTTTTTGTCATCAAGTTATTGGAAGCTTTCGATTTACAACAGGTACAGTTACCCAAAAAAAGTCCTGTCGCAAACCACGAACCCCGAGATTCAGACGAGGCTTCGTGAGGCGAGACTTCAGACTCCCGAGAACTGCGTGTTGGACATCCACCACCTCGCAGGCTGGACAATAGTTTCATTAAATTCCCCTACTAGTAAGTGCTTAACGTTAATTGTTGTGTTGCTGTTTAATATTTTACCGAAATATTAATTTCATCACCTGAAGTGTGTGTGTTCCCTTTTTAATATATGAATGAATAAAATAAATTAACAAAAATATAATGGATGTGTTGAAGAAATGTATCGTCTCATAAATCATTATTGTAATAGATATTTAATACAGGAAAATATTGGACAAAATTGAACAAAAATCGTACCTCAGCAGGTCGCGGACAGTGTTTATAAAATATCTTTTTGACTACCCTTAAAACACAGGTATTTAAATTTATTGTTTTAATATTATTTCTAGTCTTAATGCTGATATTATCATATTAATAATACCAAATCTAAAAAAAATTAAAAATATTCGACATGCATGTTACAAGTTCGCAGCTCACAATCCGAGCAGTGCGTCGACCAAGCTGACTTGGTCAACTTCGTAAAGTGATTGTGTAGTAAATTGTTATACGCGTACGTATGATTGTTTTAATACCCCATCAAGGATTGTCTAGGATCAAAACAGAAAGGTTCATATTGCAGAACACCATCTATCATGATGGGATGGACTCCATTAGCTGATTTGTGTAAGTAAACAGAAGGTTCATTCATTGAAATTCTCTCCACTAACTGATTATGCTAATATTGTTTTTAATACGTACACTTTATAGTTTCCAAATACAAAATCTATTTGCGGCAACAATGATATTACCTTGTGCCGTAATGGTCTCCAAAAATAAAGCATCTTTTATTGAATTATCTGAAGAATATAAATTTGGCAAGCCTAGACTCTGCCGTCTTCGTATTTCTATTTAAGATTAGTATACGCGAGGTAACTCCTAATTTTGTGAAGCGGCTAGCCACAGTTGCAGCAAAAAAATTAAAGAAAAATTAAGAAGTCAGCGGATTTTCCTGGTGCATTTGGGTTGAATGGATGACTGTCATATTAACATATAAGCCCCGCACGATACATAAACTTTAAAACTCTTGCAAAGAAAATCTTGTGTTATTCATCTATATATTTTTGTAGATTTACACATATCAATGCAGATCTGTGCAGCATCTCCGAATGGTAGAAACTTGGTTAAATTCAATGGTAATATAACTCAGTATCACTAGTTACACTTTCCAAATTAGATGATCTCCCACCAATCATATTTCAGGACGCAATCATTCTGCCAAATTCTAAAATAGATACGCTAGGCCTCACCACTTCCCCTAATATGTCATGGAAGCCACACATCCTCAACATTGTTTAAGCTGCCTCCCGAAAGCTGGAAATGCTGTACAGATGCCGTAGCTACTTCTTCACTCCTGAGCAGTTGCTTCAAGTATATAAGGGATTCATTCGTCCTAACTTGGAGTACTGCTCTCGTTATCTGGGGTGGCTCTTCTTCTGTCCAACTGTTAGATAGGGTGGAATCAAAGGCATTTCGTCTTATTAACTCTCCTCCATAAGTTGATAATTTTTTTCCCTTTCTCTTCGCCGCACCGTTGCTTCACTTTCTCTTTTATTTAAATTCTCAGTGATTCATGTAAGAATTTTTTTTATAATTTTTCAGAAATTTTCAAGGGTAGAAGTCCTAGGTAGCCTCATTATGCTCTAGGTAATAATTTATTTGTATCAATGCGGCAGCCTCTGTAGATTTAATTTTTACAAGAGTTTATTTAACGGGCTTGGTGAATCTTTATACTGCATTTAACACTGGTTTATGTCTTTACAGGTTGAGCCACCAGAACAAGTAAGTAGTACACATTATGTCAGTTTTAGACATATAAGTTATTATAAAAGGCTGTAGTTTTACAGATGTCTGATATTCTAATAGGCTGCAGTTATGACTATGCACACTGAAAGATATAAATAGTGCCAGGGTTTGAAAATCCACTACCCGGTACTTCAGTTCGTAATGTTACTTTGAAATAAAAGAATAACAGGGATGATGTGATTAAACGTACAGGTATCATATACAATTAATACTTACTGGTTTTTTTTTAATAATTTGTTACTATAAATTTTTCATTTAGGGATTTTTAAACTTTGATTCGAGGCTGTATTTTACACACACGGTGTCAACCTTAATTGCGTATCAAAAGGGTTTTAACATTTGGTAGACATGAGAAAATTTGAATAATGTTTTGTAAATCGGAATGACACATTAGAGTAAGTTGCATAAAATCAAGGTAATTTTCGTAGTTAATAAACTTTTTCTTGAATTATGTATGTATGGTCTTGTGGCTTTCACGTGTCTATCATCTGGTTTGTGTTCTTATGATGATAACTTTTTATTAATACTACTGTTATTATATTATTATTATTATTATACATTCATACATACATACATACATACATACATACATACATACATACATACATACATACATACACCAGAAATAAAACAAAAGAAAGGCGCAAGAAAACAATAATATGTGTGTATAATATGTAGAAGAGTATTATTGCTGCATATAGATCACATAAAACAGATACCATATATGCTATGTAATGACTAAGAATAAAATATATGAAATTATTTACCCCCAAATAATAATAATAATAATAATAATAATAATAATAATAATAATAATAATAATAATATCTTCAAAACACAACCATCTTAAGGTAATTATAACAAATTTTAAATATAATTCTGAAAGGCATGTCAAAGAACGTATGCTGTAATCACAAATTCATTATAACCTTATAAGTAATATGTTCGTTTGTGTAATTCCATTGTTCTACATGTTTGTGTTTTACTGGACAAACTTTGATGTGAACACTGATGAGGTTAATATCAAGTCATTGGCTTACAAAATATTCTCTAAGGTTTATAATCCAGATATGGACGTTCTCTTGGTTGTTTGGTTATCTTGCTTTTCTGTTTTCCTAATTTTTGTTTTCCTTGACTAAACCTTTTATTAGACTCTACTGTTTCGTAATCATGGTAACTGAGGTCGTAATTCTTGGGATGTTTAGTTCCACCCATAACATGCTCAGTTTGTTGATCTCCTCCTGCGGTGTTCACAGTTGGGGAGTCAATCTTGAGCGTCGTTTGTTCATTAGTATCATTTTCTTGTTCGTGTTTCTTTCTAAAGAAGCTTGTTGCGTCACTTTCACCATGTTCATCATCTTGTGTGTTTTGTGACACATCTTGTGTGTTTTGTGACACATCTTGTGTGTTTTGTGACACATCTTGTGTGTTTTGTGACACATCTTGTGTGTTTTGTGACACATCTTGTGTGTTTTGTGACACATCTTGTGTGTTTTGTGACACATCTGTGAACATCACACACATCTTGTGTGTTTTTGAACATCTTGTGTGTTTTTAACATCTTGTGTGTTTTGTGGCATCTTGTGTGTTTTGTGTGTGTTTTGTGACACATCTTGTGTGTTTTGTGACACATCTTGTGTGTTTTGTGACACATCTTGTGTGTTTTGTGACACATCTTGTGTGTTTTGTGACACATCTTGTGTGTTTTTGTGACATCTTGTGTGTTTTGTCACATCTTGTGTGTTTTGTGACACAACATCTTGTGTGTTTTGTGACACATCTTGTGTGTTTTGTGACACAACATCTTGTGTGTTTTGTGGCACAACATCTTCTGTGTTTTGTGGCACAACATCTTGTGTGTTTTGTGGCACAACATCTTGTGTGTTTTGTGGCACAACATCTTGTGTGTTTTGTGGCACAACATCTTGTGTGTTTTGTGACACAACATCTTGTGTGTTTTGTGGCACAACATCTTGTGTGTTTTGTGACACATCTTGTGTGTTTTGTGACACATCTTGTGTGTTTTGTGACACACATCTTGTGTGTTTTGTGACACAACATCTTGTGTGTTTTGTGACACAACATCTTGTGTGTTTTGTGACACAACATCTTGTGTGTTTTGTGACACAAAATTTTGTGTGTTTTGTAACACAGAACCGTATGTTTTTCCTGGCATGACACCATCGTCACCATGCATGACACCATCGCCACCATGTATGACACCATCGTCATTATACACGACACCATCGTTACCATGGCTCACCACCTCCATAAGAGGCTCACTCTCGTGGTCTTCAGTACTTTTGATATTTTCGGTCTCTCTCGTTTTCTCCTTCAGCTGTTTATCGACTCCTCTTTTCTCTATATCATCATTCGTCATCATTTCCCTTACATCCTCGGCTTTTCTTCTGCTGCGTCTCCTCATGTAGTACCAAAACCCAACGACAGAGGCCACCACCAGAAGGAACAGGATGACGACAACAGTAATTGTGTTGGAAGAGGAAACTTCAGGAGAGCCGTAAGACCCTTCCGGTGTCACGCTTGAGGTGGGCGACCCCCAAGTCACGCCTGGAGTGGGCGACGTCGAAGTCACTGCTGTAGAGTGAAATATAAACTTTAATGGATAAAAGAATTTGTTTGAATAAATTTGAAAGAAATTTATACTCGATGCTTTCATAGAAATGTCTAAAAAAATTCAATAAGTGTATTAGCTACAAACTATAAGCGTTATCTATGCCACACGAAATTTTAGTTTAAATATATATATATATATTTTTTTAAAGGGAGGTAAGAGTGATCTAAAGATCGACAAATGTGCGTGTATTCCGGGTCGGTAATGTACCCCGGGTGGGGCGCGGCCGCGTGTGTTTATTGTTTGTGTCAGCCACACCGACATGAGGTGGAGTGAACTCGTTCCACGGGAAACACTGGTGTCCCGCTCACTTTACCCCTCCGTGTGTAGTGCAGGCGGTTGCGCGCCCCACCCGGGGTACACGTACAAAAAGTAGGAGTGAATTATCTGATTGACTATATCCGTCGCCGACATTCCAAGACTTAAAATCCATGTTTATATACTGTAATCATGTTAGAAGAAAACTGCAGCACATTCTGTACGTGATAAATAAATAATTTCTCGTATTTAAATAAACGTCTTAATATAAACAAAATTATACATGAAAGCAGGAAATCTTCGTAAACCAAACTACTGGAAAAATAAAGATAAAACCGAGTTAGGACATTTCACAGATAAAAACAAACTTAACATAACAGAAGTCACTGTAGAATAAACCACTGAGGAAGTAAACAGTGTTACCATCCTTACCTCCATCACGTTTGAAGCTGACGTACATATAGTTGCCCTGAGACACGTGACCATAAACCTGGTGAAATTGTGTGGCATCCATCTCGTCAAACCTCGCCACCTCACTACCTTCTACCGAAAGAGTGAGACGTCCATTTATCACCGATAGCGAGAAGAAAGTCCAGTTAGTCAGTGACAGTATCTTCAGGGACACCTCCTTGGACAGCACTATCACTTGCTGTTTCAAACTTGACGATCTTAAACTCTCCAGCGTTAACCTCACAGAACCATTAATAACATTCCTCAAGCGTAGAGAACCGGTTGCAGTGCCATCTGTGAGTTCAAAACCAAAGGTGAACTCTTGCCAAGGATGTGTGGGCGTCATGAGAGCGACTGTAAGACTCTCTGACAGTGGGAAGGAAGGTGACCAGTCCTCAGCATCTTTCCCAGCCAAATGATATAAGCTGAATCCTGTAACACGTGGGAGGGTCTTAGTGAATGTGATAATGATAACTAATAATAAATAGTTGTAATAATAATAATAATGAAAAACAGACAGACAGGCAGAGACATCACTTATTATTCTTTTTTCATCATCTTACCTATGGGTGGTTCTAAGGCCCCTACGCTCGTGCCCGACATCTCCACGCCCACGGCCATCATCATCATCATCATCACGCCCACGGTCATAGTCATCATCCCTGCCGCTTTCATCATTGCCTCTCGATGGTACTTCTCTATTTCCAAAGCAGTTGCCGAGCAGAAGCTTCACCACATAGCACCGTCACCACATAATGCCGTCAGTACATAACACCATCACCACATAACACCGTCACCACATAACACCGTCACCGCAGTTGTTTGAGTATAGCCAGATAGTAATGTTGTAAAGGGTAGACCAAGGGACTTTTAACCTTACTTAGCCAATGTTTATCAAGTTAAGGCTGCGTAGGTAATCATCATTTCCACTGTTATAATAATGTACTGGAAACTTATATACCACTAGCTTTTTGTTCTTCTATAATTGAGGAGCACAAAATTGGCTTGGACAACACATGGATGCTCTCACTCTACTGCAGAAGGACGGCAGAAGGAGTTTTATCTTATCTAAATTGTAATCAGATAACACATTGGGTTATCTGATTGTCCCATGTGGTGTCTGATCGTGTTTCGGTATCTCTGATGAGGAATGAGTTGGATTCGTCCCAAAGTGTGGCAAGAGGTGTTTATTTTTTTTTAATGAATGGTGCGCTTGATATATACAGAAGTATTAAAACCTCCAACACACACACACACACACACACACACACACACACATAAACTCACTCGACAAATACACATAAACTCACTCAACAAACACACATAAACTCACTCAACAAACACACATAACTCACTCAACACACACAAAAAAATAAAATCCCTTCGTGTCAGACAAAGCATTAGAAAAAATAGATCAATATATAAACTGTTTATTATTCCGGTATTTGTTTTTTTTTGGGGGGGGAGGAGTAAATCATAAACAGTTTTTTAATAAATAAGATCTATATTCAATTCATATTACGTCATAAACAGCAATGCAATGAAAGTCTACACATTCTGAATAAGTTTCTAAAATAACCATACAAAATGTTTTCTCTAATATTATAAATGAACGATTTATTTTATATATGATAAACATGGAATAAAATGATCACCTGAAGATTTTACACACACACACACACACACACACACACACACACACACACACACTCCAGCTTATTTAACCTGATGATTAATCCCCCTATAATGCTATTTGGGGGTGTTAGGTTAGGTTTGGTCTGTTTAGATTAGGTTAAGTTAGGTTATGTTAGCCATAGCTTATGTAACATTAGGTTAGGCTGGGTTTTGTAAAGTATCGTATTGTGACATACAATATATTATTACATTTCAAAATAAATATATTTTACGATTAAGAGTAATGATAAATAAGGCTTAAGAATACGATGATCATTAGCATAACTCATGACAAAAACATAATCCATTAAAAAAATAAATATCATGGCAGTATAATACAAGAGTGATAATTACACACGCCTGTGAATTAAAACAAGGTGCCCATTCACAGCTGGGTGGACTAAGAGTGCCTCGTGATCCATTTCACCGTCGAACTTCACTCTTAAGGTTTATAAATATTTTACTCCTTTATTTAATAAGTGTGGTTATATTACTAACTACCGTATATGTATTACTTCTCTTGAGCGAACACTACTGCCAGGTGTAACTAAACGAATCTGATAATATCTACAGTGTACAGGTATACAGGTAGCCAGATATTCAGGTGTACAAATACTTAGGAATACATTACAGTGGTACCTATATTATCCACTAATTAAGGTATATACAGCAGGTATAATCACATGTTTAAAACAGGTGACCGTCATGTAGTCTATTAACTAAATCAATTCCTCGTTGCACTTTTGTTTTTGTTGTTTAATAATGTATGACATCCACGTTGTGTTTCATTAGCACCACGATACTACGTTACATCTATGATATATTTACCAGGTAACTTTCATGTTGTATCTTTTGGTGAAGATGTGAGAGTTTTCTGTTCCACTCATGAGGTATTTGTTACCTGTTGGTTCCCTCCAGGTGTTATGGTGTTACTGAGATGCGTTTCACCTGTCAGCACTTGTCTTACTTCGTCCTTGTTAGTGAGTCACATCTTCGACCTTGTAACTTGGAATAAGAGATCATGTCTAGTTTACAAAAAGCTCGTTGTATATGGATCAACCTTGAGTGAGACAGTCAGAAGCGTTCTTACATCTCCAATCTGGATGGTATGTTAATATTCTAAATCTTGATACTATACAATCAACCGTTATTCTGTTACAACCGCAATGGGTCCTCAACACTGCCCGGAAGAATGGAGTTTGCACCTGACTGTACAAATCCTTGGACACCACCTGCACATGCGGATATTTTAGGACACTCTTTGAACAGTCTTGGGTTTTCTACTTCTGATTATTATATTCCTTGCCTCTTGTTTGATGAAGGACTTGACTCTTACAACCAATACCTCTCCAATGACATTCTCTGGCCCGGATGATGGTTATAGACGTTATCCGAGGCATGTTGAGGACTCCTGCTGCCAGACTGTCTTTTGGAACGCATTAGAACACCTATGACGGTGACAAGCAAGACAAAGAATACCAGGAGAGCCGCCACGAACAGGCTGGTGCATTGACAAGAGAGGTCGTTTACTGTCTCACTGCAAGATGACCTATGTTGGCAGCCAGGGTCGTTGATGGTCACGTGAACACCAGAGTCACGAGAATCTGCAATAATGAGACAATTGGTTAGTAAACCCTCAGTACATCTTACAAGTATTGTTGCTTGTAGTTGTAAAATGCTCCATTTGGTTACCTGATGTACATATTTACTTGCTACTTAATGCTTCACTGTGTTGTTTACTCAATGTACAGATTTACTTATTTATACAAAAAGTTCAGTGTAACAGCACATATATACCTGTTGATATACAGTTATTGTTGAGCAATAGGTAACTGCGGGGCGGAGACTCGACCCACCAATCCAGCAGAGGCTTGGCAGATCCAGGTAGATGAAGATGCCAGCAGACGCCATCGTCCTCACCCGATACTTCCAGACCTACTGGAGGCATCCGTGTGAGGATGAGAGTAGTCCAGCCGGATCTGGTGAGGCGCAGCAGTGAGGGAAGTCTCCTCCGGGTAGTGGTTTGATTACTGGCGTCCATCATCGTCATCTGTAGGTCGAAGACGACTGTGGTGTTGTCGTTGTGATAAGCAGTGAAGACCAGCAGGAGATAGTTGTCCTGCTTGACAGAATGACTGGAAAGGTCGTTAACAGAATCACTAGAAGGGTCGTTGACAGAATCACTAGAGGGGTAGTTGACAGAATCACTGAAAGGGGCGTTGACAAAATCACTAGAAGGGTTGTTAACAGAATCATTGAAAGGGTCATTAACAGAATCACTAGAAGGGTCGTTGACAGAATCACTAGAGGGGTAGTTGACAGAATCGCTGAAAGGGTCGTTGACCGAATCACTGAAAGGGTCATCGACAGAATCACTAGAAAGGTCGTTGACAGAATCACTGAAAGGGTCGTTGACAGACTCACTAGAAGGGTCGTTAACAGAATCATTGAAAGGATCGTCAACAGAATCACTAGAAGGATGGTTGACGGAATCACTAGAAGGATCGTTGACAGAATCACTAAAGGGGTCGTTGACAGAATCACTAAAAGGATGGTTGACGGAATCACTAGAAGGGTCGTTAACAGAATCACTAGAAAATTCCTTGACAGAATCACTGGAAGAATCATCAGAGTAACTGGACAACTCATTACTGGAGTCATTGTCATTATTGTAGGTGTAGCTGAGGGAGAGTTTGAGGGTGAAGCTCTCCAATGGCTCGTGAGGGTGGAGGCGGAAGGACACCCTGGTAGGATTGGTAAGAAGACGCTTCACACTCTGGGACACCGATGGCCGTGATCCCAATGTTTCCACACAACCTGATGACGACACCTGAGTTATATACCCCATATAGACTGAAGATTTTTCTTATATTCCTTACACACTCTTAAGACCTACAAGACCTAGTGTATACATTAAAAATACCCATAAGACCTACAAGTCCTACTGTATACTTTAAAAACACCCATAAGACCTACAAGACCTACCGTATACCTTAAAAACACTCTTAAGACCTACAAGACCTAGTGTATACATTAAAAACACTCTTAAGACCTACAAGACCTACCGTATACCTTAAAACACTCATAAGACCTACAAGACCTAGTGTATACATTAAAAACACTCTTAAGACCTACAAGACCTACCGTATACCTTAAAAACACTCATAAGACCTACAAGACCTAACGTATACCTTAAAACACTCATAAGACCTACAAGACCTAGTGTATACATTAAAAACACTCTTAAGACCTACAAGACCTACCGTATACCTTAAAAACACTCATAAGACCTACAAGACCTACCGTATACCTTAAAACACTCTTAAGACCTACAAGACCTAGTGTATACATTAAAAAAAACCATAAGACCTACAAGACCTACCGTATACCTTAAAAACACTCTTAAGACCTACAAGACCTACTGTATACCTTAAAAACACTCTTAAGACCTACAAGACCTACCGTATACCTCAAATCTTTATTTAACACGTGAACACTTCCCAACCATTCTCAACGTGTTCGTGGTAATGTTTTTTTTTGGGGGGGGGGGGTTAACTTCTTCCACACACGTACGTCTCTTATAATCAAATCATTATTTACTTATTTCCTTCCTAAATCTTAATCTTAAGAGTTCTGTTTTCATTGTTCGTTTAAATAGCTCGTTGGATCACCGGAAGGTAATACAACTACAGGCTAAGTTAGGTTAGGATATGTTAATTTAGTATTGAGTTAATTTAGGTTAGCGTGTTAAATCATCACATGAAATAACGTTGGGACTAATCTTTAGGTGATTCTTTCAGGCTCTCGATGTGAAACTTTGAAGTGCAGTCTGTTAACACAAAGACATACGGGAGGTCACACTTACCTGTGGTGGAGACCAGCATCATCCTGGCCAGGAGGACAAGAAACATTATTGTCCTCCTTCTCCTCCTCGGGGTCGTCTGGTAGTGGTGTTGCCCTGACATCACGGGGGACAGATTTCTATTGACCTGACATGACCTCACTGGACCTTCAGTAACCTCAGATGAACTCTGGTATCCTCTTCAGTAAACCTGGGTGACCCTTCTTGATTTCTGGGGACCCGTGAGTAAGGGTGCTCTCGGGGGAGGAGACGCTGAAGGAGTGTTGCTATTGTTTTGTGTGAGGAGGAGGGCGCGACAGGACGTAAACACACCCTCTTCCTCCTCTTCCTGATATGTCAACAACAGGATGTTGATTGCGAGGAAGCTGATGTACCAGGGCTAGCTGGTGTACCTATACTGGGCCAGTTAGTGTACCTGGACCAGCGGGTGTACCTATACTGGGCCAGTTAGTGTACCTGGACCAGCTGATGCACCTGAACCAGCTAGTGTACCTGGACCAGCTAGTGTAACGGGACCAGCTGGTGTACCTGGATCCTACTGGTCTCGGGTAACCAGCGAGGTATTGATAAGGACAAGGTAATCCGTGCGTGGGTGTGTGTGTGTTTTTCCATCCTTGAGGCGAACTTTACTCTGCTTCGGCACGGTGTCTCGCTCTTAACAGGATATACATCAGACACGTCGTAGATGCCTGGTCCCTTTATCACTGTAGGTCTCTGTTGGCTTGTCGGAGGATGTTGTTACTTGTGCAGCACTCAGCCTAGATCTGTCTTGTTTTAAGTACTCCTTCCCTCGATGTTAAGTCACAGTTCCCGATGTCTGACCTGGAATATTTCTTAGTGCTGCTGAGTGTTTGATGTTCTATATTTCCCTTGTCTTTGTCTCGTTCTAAACAACTTATTTCAAGATTATCACAGTTCCTCCTTCTCTTCTTCATCCTCATTAGACTCTTCCATCTCGTTGTCATTTGTGGGAATATTATGATCGATATCCATTAACTTCGCCTCCTCTGTTGTTATGTCCATATTATCTTCCTCTGTCAGTACAATTCTTCTCTTTTTGAAGATTTTACCATCGTCCTGGATAAGTCCGTATTCGGTCTTTGGTTTGATAATGTCATCAAGATAAACTCTTTTCCTCGGTTTTATCTTCTCTTCCATATCCACGTCTTCATCAGGAAGTAAATGTGTGTCATTCGTTAAATCATAAGGTGGTTCTGGGGTTATATTATGGTCACTGTACATCTGTGGGCTTATCGACGAGTCATTGAGAGCCTGTCTGCTCATCTGTGGGTCAACAGCTGCCCACTCATTGGTTGGCATTGACTTCTCCACAGGTGTTGGCAGGTGTCCCACAGGTGTTGGCAGGTGTCCCACAGGTGTTGACAGGTGTCCCATAGGTTTTGGCAGGTGTCCCACAAGTGTTAGCAGGTGTTCCATAAGTCCTCCTGTCTGCTGTCTCGTTGGCCTCAAGGTTCGTCGTTGCGGGACTCTCTTCCGCCTGTCTCTTTGTGAGCTAGCTTTACTATCTTCTGTTGAGATAATGGGCGTTTGTGAGCTATCTTTAATCTCTTCTGTTGAGATAATGGGCGTTTGTGAGCTAGCTTTACTCTCTTCTGTTGAGATAATTGACGTTTGTGAGCTATCTTTAATCTCTTCTGTTGAGATAATTGGCGTTTGTGAGCTATGTTTAATCTCTTCTGTTGAGATAATGGGCGTTTGTGAGCTAGCTTTACTCTCTTCTGTTGAGATAATGGGCGTTTGTGAGCTATCTTTACTCTCTTCTGTTGAGATAATGGGCGTTTGTGAGCTATCTTTAATCTCTTCTGTTGAGATAATGGGCGTTTGTGAGCTATCTTTAATCTCTTCTGTTGAGATAATTGGCGTTTGTGAGCTATCTTTAATCTCTTCTGTTGCGATAATTGACGTTTGTGAGCTATCTTTAATCTCTTCTGTTGAGATAATGGGCGTTTGTGAGCTATGTTTAATCTCTTGTGTTGAGATAATGGGCGTTTGTGAGCTAGCTTTACTCTCTTCTGTTGAGATAATTGGCGTTTGTGAGCTATCTTTAATATCTTCTGTTGAGATAATGGGCGTTTGTGAGCTATCTTTAATCTCTTCTGTTGAGATAATGGGCGTTTGTGAGCTATCTTTAATCTCTTGTGTTGAGATAATGGGCGTTTGTGAGCTATCTTTAATCTCTTCTGTTGAGATAATGGGCGTTTGTGAGCTATCTTTAATCTCTTCTGTTGAGATAATTGGCGTTTGTGAGCTAGCTTTACTCTCTTCTGTTGAGATAATTGACGTTTGTGAGCTATCTTTAATCTCTTCTGCTGAGATAATGGGCGTTTGTGAGCTATCTTTAATCTCTTCTGTTGAGATAATTGGCGTTTGTGAGCTAGCTTTACTCTCTTCTGTTGAGATAATGGGCGTTTGTGAGCTATCTTTAATCTCTTCTGTTGCGATAATGGGCGTTTGTGAGCTATCTTTAATCTCTTCTGTTGAGATAATTGGCGTTTGTGAGCTAGCTTTATTCTCCACTGGTGAGATAATTGGCGTTTGTGAGCTAGCTTTAGTCTTTTCTGTTGAGATAATTGGCGTTTGTGAGCTAGCTTTAGTCTTTTCTGTTGAGATAATTGACGTTTGTGAGCTATCTTTAATCTCTTCTGTTGCGATAATGGGCGTTTGTGAGCTAGCTTTAATCTCTTCTGTTGCGATAATGGGCGTTTGTGAGCTAGCTTTACTCTCTTCTGTTGAGATAATGGGCGTTTGTGAGCTATCTTTAATCTCTTCTGTTGCGATAATGGGCGTTTGTGAGCTATCTTTAATCTCTTCTGTTGAGATAATTGGCGTTTGTGAGCTAGCTTTATTCTCCACTGGTGAGATAATTGGCGTTTGTGAGCTAGCTTTATTCTCCACTGGTGAGATAATTGGCGTTTGTGAGCTAGCTTTAGTCTTTTCTGTTGAGATAATTGACGTTTGTGAGCTATCTTTAATCTCTTCTGTTGCGATAATGGGCGTTTGTGAGCTAGCTTTAATCTCTTCTGTTGCGATAATGGGCGTTTGTGAGCTAGCTTTATTCTCCACTGGTGAGATATTGGGCGTTTGTGAGCTAGCTTTATTCTCCACTGGTGAGATAATGGGCGTTTGTGAGCTAGCTTTACTCTCCACTAGTGAGTACAACGGCGGTGCTACATTGAGGTATATTTGCGTCACAGGTCCACACTGATGAGTCTCGTTCGATATAAAATAATCCTTGAGGAGTTTGTTAGCTTGGTGTGTGTTGACTGTCATTGTCGCCTCACCACACACGCCCCCCTGAGCCTCTGTCCTACACCCAGTTACTCCCGAAGAGTGTGTTATAAGAGACTGGTTTTCACTAAGTTCTTCGTCTTCGTCACGTCTTGCCTCCATCTTCGTTTCTTCTTCTGTTTTTATCATTGTTGTTTTTCTTTTCCTCCACCAATACAGGAACCCAAGTGTTACGAAGAGGAGAAGGTGGAGGAAGAGGAGGAGGAGGATGAAGGTGACAATATGAGCGATGGTCCATGAAGATTGTCCTGGTGGAGGTGGTGGTGGTGGTCGCCCGGTGGTTGTTGTTGTTATTGTTAATGTTGATGTTGATGTTGTTGTTGTTGTTTTACTAATAACTGTCAACAAATAATGATAACGATCATAATATATCATGATAATGTTGTTAATAATGATATTAGTTAAATACTTTTCTACTCCTGGTTCTTTAGCTGCTACAGCTACTACTACTATTACGACTACAAAGAAGAACTGTTGAATAATAATAATTCTGAAATCGAAATAATTTTTTAATGTTTCAGTAGATAAACAGACAGTTACTTCACCACTTCATAAGGTGTATCTCCTTACTTGAACTAACACTTATTCGTGACTATAAGTAAATCAAGTGACTCAATGGCCCCGGAACACAGCTCAAGAAACTTTCTTTACCACTCTTACAAATCCTTATTAGTAGTGGTGTTTATGAGTCAGCTCTGTTGATCTTCGCTATGTATACCGTAAACACACATAAAACCTATGGTATATAAGTGACACTCACCAGGGAGGCAGTTGAAGCTAACGTCAAGATGATGACCGAGGGAGACGTGAGCGAAGACCTTCTGAAATGACGTCGCATCCACCCTGTGAAAGATGACTTCGAAGGCGTCCTCCACCTTCATCTTTAGTTGACCTGCTTGGACAGCCAGAGAGAGTAAAGTCCAATCATTCAGACTAAGATAGTGGGACTTATTTTGGTGGAGCTGCACCACCTGCTCCTCCTGGTCATGGTAGGCCTCCCAGGTGGACAGGGTGAGATTGATTCTGTCGCCTCGCGTGAAGGTGAGCGACCCGATCGTCTTACCCTGTGGCGACTCGAACCCCATCGAGATTTTTTTCCAGTGGTTCTTCTTCACCAGGATGGGTAAGGAGGTATCGGAGGAGAGGGGGAAGGAAGGAGTATAGTCCTCCTCTTCCTCTATCCCGCCTCCTATCTCGTAGATCATACATCCTGTGACCAAAGAAAACAGGAACCTGATACCCAAAGGTGTGATGACATAAGGTTAAACATTTATCCCGTACAAGACAATTACATCACAATAACAGTACAGTACACGTTTTATACCGCATCCTCTTACGATCCTGAATTTTTTCCTCCAGGTTTGGTCATTGTCGTCATGAGCATCACATATACTTAATGATAATATCCAAGTTATGAATTATTGTTTCATATTTAAGGGTCGATGTTTGGAGACTTTTTTGTCTGATAAATTGTTTTAATTATAATTCGTATTTCAGCTCTGTGTGTGTGGGGGGGTGGGGGTGGGGGGGTAGTGGAGCCTGAAGCTGGATGTTTGTATTTTCTATGATTGTTTGTATGTTGATAGTATGTTTTGTGTTTGCTATGCTTGTTTGTTGTTCGTTTTGTATGTTCATGTGTATGTTCGTGGTAGATATCTCACTATCATTCAACAACACATACAGGAAATGTGATTGACTTGTTATGTTTCCTCTTCTTCATATGAATTCATACATCAGTTCTCTCAGTTAGGGAGAATATAAGAAAATATGACGGGACAAAGATTAATATAAATGTTTCTTTTTTATGCAAGGTAAGGAAGCATAAAATGAAATCTTAATTTGTAATAATTCTTACGACAATTTGAGCAATATTCGGGTATTATTATTATTATTATTATTATTATTATTATTATTATTATTTAGCTGGTTAGGTTAGGTTAGGGTATTGTATCTGTGCATATTATAGCACATAGTGTGTTAAGGCCCATACATCATGGACAACATATGTATTCAATATAAAATATGAACACAAACAGAAGATATCAACCATGTTGTTATCAGCGATGAAGTAATATAACGGGAAGAAAGGCGCTTACACTCATAAATAATAATCTCAGGGGCACCAACCTTATCGTACAACTATTTGTACGTTGTACTGTTACAGGGTTACAGAAAGAAACGATAGCTCTCTCTCTCTCTCTCTCTCTCTCTCTCTCTCTCTCTCTCTCTCTCTCTCTCTCTCTCTCTCTCTCTCTCTCTCTCTCACACACACACACACACCCACACACCCCTTGAAACATATGGCTGGTTGGTGAAAATCTCGGAGGGAACGGCTGTCCACGACTACCTCTTCACCAGGCCACCTCCTCCCTCACCTGCAGGTAGTGGTGAGCTCTGGACCAATGGCACCACCATCATCACCACCCACGTACACACCACCACTGTAAGGATGTTCATCACGAGTGGAAGGGTGAATATATGTAGCGCGTCACTGAGTGTAAGAGGTGGACTGGTGTGTGAGGCAGGTTCTGGGGTATCTTATCTGATGATAAAGCTTGTCAGCCAATATTACAATATTTGGCAAAACACACATCTGGAATTCACAAATTTTATATACAAATATTATTAGGTTGAAGAAATGTCCCTAAAATTATCAAAATTATACAAATGTTAATCGATTTTTTTTATCATTATTATAACTTAGAAACATGATTGATTGACACTGAAGTCTTGAAATGGATAAATACATAAACATTTACCACTGCTTGCATTAGGGGGGTAAACATTAAAATAGAAATATCTCTAATGTATGTAAATATATAAAATATCTTTGTAAAGGATATCTTAGAAATGTAACCTAGGCAAGATGTCATTACTGGGTGAAAAGATGCAGTGTGTTGATTGTGACAAGGTGGAGTACACGTGTTGGTGGTGGAGGTGACCAGGTGGAGGGGGGGGGGGGCGTGCTGGAGGAGGAGGAAATCAGTTGACGGTGAGACTATGTTGTAGAAAATCTGTTGTCTAACATACGTGTCTTACATTACAACTACACTACAACAAGTTGAAGCACACGACACAGGACTGTAGTTCAAAATGGTCGACCGGCTGTGTTTCGGAGCACCGAGCCTTTTTCAGTGAAGCTGTTAACGAACACTATGAGCGACAAGAAACGTCAGAATGTACTTAATAACATAAAGGTGAAGTTAAGATAGTTGAAACATGATCCTTTGAAGGTCCATTAGTGGTTCATACTGGCCACTCAGGACCATTTATGGTCTAAAAGTCCATTCAGGTCCATTAGTGGTTCGTAGTGGCTATCCAAGTCCATTTATGGTCCACAGGGTCCATCCAGGTCCATTAGTGGTTCATTGTGGTCATCCAGGTTCACTGTGGTCCACATTGGCCACTTGCGTCTATCAAAAAGCCATACTGAATACCCCAGTTTATGAGTGTCCTTAATGGTCCAGCAGGTGACAAAAGGCCTTCAGTGGTCAGACAGTGCAGAGGACAGGATGAACAATGGTGAGGTGACATACCCTGACCATCCTGGGAGAAGGAAACCATTTATCGCCCCCACCTCTCCCTTCCCCCCACCATGGAGGACTCACCCCCTCCACCCTACAACCCCCCCCCCATCACCTTTCAGCATTAACAATCGATAAGTCAATTAATGAAGGAAAAGGTTTCAACGAACCCTACTTATAACCACCATCAACAACAACAACTATAGCAACAACAACAACTAAAAATATTTACCAAAACTACAAGAACAACAAATAAAGCCAATAAACAACAAAAACAACAATGGCTACAATACTATTACAACTACATCAACAACTGTAACAACCACACGAAAGAGAACGACAGCAACAACATAAGCTACAAAAAACTATAACAATTATAACAAGAAAACTGAAACAAAGCAACAAAAACAACAACTACAACAAGTGGACTTTAACCATGATAGAAAAAATCACACACACACACACACACACACACACACAACTAATTTGTCTCAATTTACATGTTTATACGTTTAATCTATCTATCTATCTATCTATCTATCTATCTATCTATCTATCTATCTATCTATCTATATATCTATCATTTGAGAGCTATTAATTAATGCATAAGACTTATATACCTGGCAATGTTAACACTGTCTCAAAGGTGTACACTGTAATCTCCCTTTAAAGTGAATCATTATTACCTTGACGAATCAGATAATTAATATTTATGTCGTAGACTAAATGAAATAGTTAAATTTTCTCTCATCACATAACTAACTGAGGAAAAACTTGACGTAAGAACTTTGTGAGATTCCATTTTTGTGGTTAAATCTAATGAAGGAGTTGGATACGTTCCTACATACATAATTATCACGCAATTTTACCCTGAGAATCTTTGAGAATCTGGACACAATCTGGGTAAGTCGCAGCTGATCACCTCTTATGTAGAACTTTTTCGCGTCATGAATGGGAATAATCCTTTTATTGGCTTTGGTTTGGGGAGCCGAGGTAAATAAACCATTTAACGATGACTCCTTCCACTGTAAAAAAACAAAACCCTCCTTCCCTTCCTCCCTCCATCTTTCCTTCCCTCCCTCCCTCTCTCCCTCCCTCCCCCCTTCCTTCCCTCCCTTCCCTCCCTCCCTCAGCCTTCTCTAGCCTCTCTCAGCTTCCTTTAGCCTCCCTAACCTCCCTCAGTCAGTCCCCCAGTTCCCCCTATCTCTCCCCAGCTACCTACACACCCCAGAAAAAAAAGGAGAATGAGGAAGTGGAATGTAAAAGCGTTGGTAGCAAGAGGAGAAGGTGTGAGTTGTCTGGAATAGGATGAGAAAAGGAAGAGGAGGAGGAGGAGGAGGAGGAGGAGGAGGAAGGGGTGAGTGTGTGAGGGCTGGTAAGAGGAGGAGGAGGAGGAGGAGGAGGGGTGAGTGTGTGAGGGCTGGTAAGAGGAGGAGGAGGAGCAGGAAGGCAGGTTATCATGGCAACGAAACCCAAACATTACCTTCATCTAAACCTGTCGTGGGCGTCTTTCACTCCCCCTCTACACTCCTTCTCTTCCTCCTACCTCCTCCTCTCTATCTTCTTCCCCTTCATCCACCCTTCCACCCTTCCTCCTCCTCTCTATCTTCTTCCCCTTCATCCTCATTCTTCTTCTTCCTACATCTTACAGGACTCGACCCTACATCACTACCAAGACAAGGAGCTTCTCAACACTCCCGGTTTTACCCAACACCATTGACCTAACGCATCACCTGAAGATTAGCCCCCCTTCCAACTTATCATATCCGATGATTAAACAGCCAAACGCCAAACAAACTTAACCTAATCCTAACCTAACAATAACCTAACCAAACCTAACCTAACCTAACCTAACAATAACCTAACCTAACCTAACCTAACCCACAAATTAGCGTGAGGTTAGAAAATTTAATCATCAGGGGTTACTAAGTTTTAGGTTCTCTTATCATCACAATTATATATTTTGCTATTATTTGAATCTTTTGTTATTAAAAATAGATTTACCAATTACACAACTCTCGGGGCATCTTTCTTGTGCCCTCCCAATTACACAAGTGAACACATCCTAAATCCTATTAAAATCGGTTTCCCCCCCCCCCACAAAAAAAAATCGACTCAAACAGCGGCCGATTTATCAAAGTGAACGATAGAATTTAATAACCTCATTAAAATTAGAATAAAAAGAACATTTCATCTTTCTTTTTTGTAACTAAAAATATTTCTAATTTCAGATTCTCTTTGACGACTTGAAACATTATTACAAATATTGGGAAGTTGATTGTAGCTATTATAGTGAAGCGTGGCCGGGACTGTGATATACTGTACCTAACCTAACCTAGTCTAACCTAACCTAACCTAACCAAACCTAATCTAATCTAACCTAATCTAACGCTAACCTAACCTAACCTAACGCTAACCTAATCTAATCTAACGCTAATTTAATTAATAACCCTAACATTAGCCTAACTCTAAATCTGAAGGAGGGAAGGAGGGAGGGAGGGATGGATGCAGGCAGGCAAGCAAGCAGAGAGAGAGAGAGAGAAAAAGAGGGTGGGAAGGAGGGAGAGAGATGAAATGAGGGAGGGACGGATGTAGGTAGGCTAGAAGCAGAGGGAGAGAGAGAGAGGGGGGGGGGAGATGGAACGAGGGAGAGAGGGGGAAACGGATATTGGCTTGCTGATGAAACCCACCGTGTTATTTGATGCACCTGACTGCTCGGTACACGGCAATTTGAAGTGCATAGCATTTGTCAGGAAGTGCATAGCGTCATTTTTAATTGCATCGTGTTTTCTAAAATGCATAACGTTATTTAAGTGCATTGCGGTTTCTTTCGGTACATAGCGTTCTGTAAAGTGTATGGCGTTGAGGTGGAATTTACAAAAGGTACTTAGGTTAAAATGACGTCACGTAAATGAGGATGTAATAGATATAGAATTGTATGTATAGTGATAGAGAGGAAGAATGTGTGTATAGTGATAGAGAGGAAGAATGTGTGTATAGTGATAGAGAGGAATAATGTGTGTATAGTGATAGAGAGGAAGAATGTGTATATATTGATAGAGAGGAAGAATGTGTATATAGTGATAGAGAGGAAGAATGTGTGTATAGTGATAGAGAGGAAGAATGTGTGTATAGTGATAGAGAGGAAGAATGTGTGTATAGTGATAGAGAGGAAGAATGTGTGTGTATAGTGATAGAGAGGAAGAATGTGTGTATAGTGATAGAGAGGAATAATGTGTGTATAGTGATAGAGAGGAATAATGTGTGTATAGTGATAGAGAGGAAGAATGTCTATATAGTGATAGAGAGGAAGAATGTGTGTATAGTGATAGAGGAAGAATGTGTGTATAGTGATAGAGAGGAAGAATGTGTGTATAGTGATAGAGAGGAAGAATGTGTGTATAGTGATAGAGAGGAAGAATGTGTGTATAGTGATAGAGAGGAAGAATGTGTGTATAGTGATAGAGAGGAAGAATGTGTGTATAGTGATAGGAGGAAGAATGTGTATATATTGATGAGAGGAAGAATGTGTGTGTATATTGATAGAGGAAGAATGTGTGTATAGTGATAGAGAGGAAGAATGTGTGTATAGTGATAGAGAGGAATAATGTGTGTATAGTGATAGAGAGGAAGAATGTCTATATAGTGATAGAGAGGAAGAATGTGTGTATAGTGATAGAGAGGAAGAATGTATGTATAGTGATAGAGAGGAAGAATGTGTGTATAGTGATAGAGAGGAAGAATGTGTATATAGTGATAGAGAGGAAGAATGTGTGTATAGTGATAGAGAGGAAGAATGTGTATATAATCAGGGAGACTGGAGGCCAGAGAGGACGAACATAACTATTTCTCGCCGTAGTCATGGTTACATTCTGTCTCTACACACACACACACACACACACACACACACACACACACACACACACACATATTGAATTAAATTAGACTGAATTAGGTTAGGTGAGCTGCAAT